GCGATCTTTTGCCATGATGCCATGCACCATGATGTGACACAGTGGGCAGAGCTGGAACTATGGTGTTTGGACTTGTAGCCTCCAAAAACTGTAAGCTAAATAAATCTTCCTTTTTAAGATAGAACAGTCAGCATCTTGTATGATAGCAACAGAAACCACGCTAATCCCTCGGGAATCTAAAATAGTCAGAGTCATTGAGTCAGAGAAGAGGGCGATGATTTCCAAAGGCTGGAGGGATTGTGAAGTGGGCAGTGATTTGTTATCAGTGAGCAAAAAACCAACAGTTACACAGATAAATGAGTTCTAGGGATCCGCTATACAGTGTTGTATGTATAGACAACACCACGATATTTAGCCTTAATCTGTTGAGGTAGATCTCCAGCTAAGCATTAACACAACAACATTAATGACTTTTGTGTGTGTGTATACATCTATGTGTTGTGCATGCACGTATGTGTGTGTGCTCCCATGCATGTATGTATTTGGAGGTCAGAGGTTGATGTTAGGGTCTTTCTTGATCACCTTCCACTTTATTAACTGAGGCAGGATCTCTTGCTAACCAGCTGGCCCCAGGGATGATCCCATCTCTGCCTCCCCAGCACTGGGACTACAGTTGTGCCACATCTGCTTTTAAATGGGCGCGAGGAATCCGAACTCCAGTCCCCACATTTGCAGGACAAGTGCTTTACCCACAGAGCCATCTCCCCAGGGAAGCCCAAGAAAAATAAGTCAAAAAGACCATGCTAAGCAAATACAAGGCGTGAACAGAAGGCAGGGAGACACACATGAATACACACATAAGAACGTCTCAGTTGGGCTGGAGAGATGGCTTAGAGGTTAAGAGCACCGACTGCTCTTCCAGAGGTTCTGAGTTCAATTCCCAGCACCCACATGGTGGCTCACAACCATCTGTAATGAGATCTGGTACCCTCTTCTGTATACATAATAAATAAATCTTTAAAAAAAAGTCTCGGTCTTTGGCCTCTCTCTCTGCTTCCCGCTGCCACAAGGTGAGCAGCTCTCCTTGCCCATGCTCTTCCTCCATGATGTTTCTGGATCACCACAGACCTTCAAACAATGGAGCCAGATGACCATGGCTGGAACCTTCTAAAACCATGGTCCAAAAATCAATTTTTCCTCCTTTGAAATGATTTCTCTCAGTTAAGTTAGACTTAAACATTTGGATAGGAAGGACAGGTGCTACAGCCATCTGCAGGGTCCCAAAGGAAAGCCTATGCCTTCCCAGCATGGCTTAGGCAGCAATAGCAAATTTGGCTTGAGAAACTTCCTCGACCTGGCTGCACTTGCTCTGGGGCTGCTGCTCAAGCTTGGGTATGAGTATGTGTGATAAGGCAGGTTAGGGGGCAGTGGAATCTTCAGAATTCACCTCTTCAAGGCTTCATCTTCTCTGAAGGCCACATCTGAGGGTACTTTTTTGGAAAGATCCTTGGATGGAGAGTTCAGGATCTCCAGGCCAACCCTTGGCACAGATTGGCTGGATGTTTCCGAGCAGGGATTCTGCTCATATTCCCTTTAAGATCTGGCATATGCTTCGGTCCCAAGCCTGAAGGACACAGCTCTCTTAGAGCCCCAGTGCCCAGTGGGTCCTCTAGGCACACCTATGTTCCATCTTAGCTGCTCCAGCGAGCGAGCGTACACAACTCTCTCTGCATGCAGTGCTATTCTCTCTAACCCGTTAGAAAAACAGTGCCTTCTGGTTTGAATCTGAAATGTCCCCCTAGGCTCCTGTTTTGAAAGCTTAGCCCTGGGCTGCTGGTGCTATTTAGGGGAAAGCCTGGATGCTCTGATGGGCAGGGCTGGAAGAAGTTTGATACTGGGGGTGGGGGCTGGGGTGAAGGGAAGTATGTCCTCTGGTGGTGCATTATCCTCCACTGCTTCTGATCTCGCTCTCTGCTTCCTGTTCTCCACCAGACGCCTCAGACGCCATCGTTCTGCTCAGGTGTATGAGCCCACGTAATCATGGACATGACTCTTGAAACCATGAGCCAAATCTTTCCTCCCTAATTATTTCCTGTCAGGCATTCTGTCTATCACAGTCATGCAAGAGTAACTAACGAAAAGTATGGTGAAAGCCTTTTTGCAGTCAAGGAAAGCCCAGAGCAGGATATCTCTTCCCCAGGAGGGCACAGCTCAAAAAACAGGCGAATGGGAATGCAGGTGGTGGGTAGCTTGATCCCAGTCCCGGGGAGTGGGTGGGTGGGGGGAGTATCTGATTTCTTCTTTTACAAATACAGAAAGGCATAGATGGTTTACTATTCAAGATTAGCGTTAGCACAATGTGATTCTGTGTTTGTCGAGATGTCCCCCCAGTACTTGACTCATCAAACAAGTGTGCATTAGGAAGGTCGCGTCTGTGCAGACCTCCTGGCACCTTCCGGATCTCACACCACAAAGTTTGCACCACCTTAGGTGGTGTGAAAAATCTCCCAGCAGCCAGGGCCAGCACTCCCTAAAGGCCTGTTTCCTGCTGGGGGAGCAGGTGACAGTAACAGCAGGGGGAGGGGCCCAGATCACGCAGAAAGAATTGGGCAATTTAGGTCACTGCCCTAGAACCGCACCACTCCTTATTTTGAGACAGCTCACGGGGGCACACGGCCATGTGGACAAGATCGGAATGGGTACTCCCAGACCCCCCCCCCCCTCCTCTGAGAAGGCTACCTTCCTTCCACTCTCTCCAAGGGACACCAAAGCCCAGGCTGCGGCTCCTCTTGGCACTGCATATTGAACCGAGACCCTGAAGAGTAAGATCAAGTCAGGAGAGGTCACAGATTGAACGAGTGAGGCATCTCTCAAGTGAAACATAGTCATAAAGAAACAGAGACTGCCAACATGGGGTGGCTCAGTGCTGCGGGTTTAAAGGTGACCCAAGGGCGATGTGTGCTCTGCTTTAGGCTGGGATGGGCACATCATCGTCCCCTAAAGGAGTGCTCCCCGAACACAAGCATACCCTCCTTTTGCTCAATTTGCTAATTATAGCTTATTCAAAAACACAAGCATGCCTCTTGACTCTGCTCTTTGCTTTTCCGTCCATTTTCTCTGTAGTTTTTCCCAAGAGATGCTTGGAAGAACCTGCCCTACACTGCCGTCCCCCCCCCCCCCCCCCCCCCCCCCCCCCGCCTTGCCACTTCTCAGTCCAGGCCCTTTGGTTCTCCAGATACTGCCCTTCCCTGTGTCCTGGTGCCAGGGCGGGAGAGGACAGAGATGGGTGGAGTTAGGGCTGGTACCAGCTCCTATTGGAGGATGCCACGATGCTTTTCATTTACTCTTCTGGAACTTTCTGGAGACATTGCCTCCTCCTTCCCGGCCACTCTTCTTCTGCCTCCTATATACCCCCACCCCCATCTGCCCCCTCTTCCTGGGTGATACCACCCATTTCCAGCCTCGAGCACCAGATGCCCATCGATGCCCGACAGAAACAATTTCCTTACTTCCCACGTGACCTCTTGGGGAGCTTTGGCTCCTTCTGCCCACCATCCTCACGACAGCCTTTGAGGAGACTCAACAAGTGACCCATTTCCCTGGCTCTCATTCCCATGATGATTCTCTTCCTGAAACTCATACCCCAGCGAACATAGTCATGGGGCTGGTAAATGGGGGTTCTGTCCCATCCTCCTCCCTTCCAGCTCGTATCAGCCGATCTGAATGGCTAATCTTAAGGACGCCAGAGCCCCGCCCTCAGCTTGCTCCCTCCTAGTGGGAAGTGGATTGTTTCCTCACCATTGAGCTTCCAGCTGGCCTCCCACTGTCCATTTCTGTCTTCTTCTATCCCCCACACGGCCACCGTGACCTTATTTTTTATTTTTTGGTTTTTTCGAGACAGGGTTTCTCTGTGTAGCTTTGTGTCTTTCCTGGATCTCGCTCTGTAGACCAGGCTGGCCTCGAACTCACAGAGATCCACCTGGCTCTGTCTCCCAAGTGCTGGAATTAAAGGCATGCGCCACCACCGCCCGGCCCACCATGATCTTATAAAGTGAGCTTTACTTATCTGGAAGAGCAAGCAACCCCCAAGCTTCCTTCTCCAAAGTCTCTTGACTTCTTATTATTTTAAAGGTTTTATTTTTATATGTATATATGAGTTTATGTGTACCACATGGGGGCAATGGCCACAAGGGCCAGAAGAGGGTGTTGATTCCCAGGAATTAGAGTTACGAGCGGTTATGAACTGCCCCACATGGGTGCCTGGAACCGAACCGGCGTCTTCTGAACGAGCAGTAGGTGCTGCTATCCCTTGACCCACTGCACCAGCCCCTATTTACTATTTTTAAGACCAACTCAAGAAGCAAAACATTAAAAACAAACAAAAAAATCAGGCCAGGCAGTAGTGGCACATGCTCAATCTCAATCTCAATCTCAGCACTTGAGAGGCAGAGGCAGGCGGACCTTAGTGAGTTCGAGGCCAGCCTGGTCTACAAAGCGAGAACCGGGAGAGCCAGGAATGTTACACTAAGAAACCCTGTCTTGAAAAACAAAAAGCGGCCGGGCGGTGGTGGCGCACGCCTTTAATCCCAGCACTCGGGAGGCAGAGCCAGGCGGATCTCTGTGAGTTCGAGGCCAGCCTGGGCTCCCAAGTGAGTCCCAGGAAAGGCGCAAAGCTACACAGAGAAACCCTGTCTCGAAAAACCAAAAAAAAAAAAGAAAAAAAAAGAAAAACAAAAAGCAAAACAACAACAACAACAACAACAACAAAAATCAGTGGTAAACCAACTCAGTGGAAAGACTCATTCATTGATACGCCACCCTAAACCTCTTCTACTAAATTCTAGATTAGGAATTACTGAAGTCTTAGTTGAAACTTATTTCTTTATGCATGAAGTAGAAGCATGGGGGAATTCTCTCTCTCCTTTACAAAGGAGGCCTTCTTTTACATGTCATTCAACTTCATTGCTTTCTTGTGTTTTTCTCAGGTGTACCTGGGTAGAGCTTCCAGGAGTGGTGGCAGGTGGGCGGGGCAGTAAGGAGGCCCGGGCCTTTGCTCTTACCTCCCTGAGGCACGTGTAGATGGGGCACACCAACACTCGGAAGGGCTCGCCAGTGCTGCTCCTCATGGTGCCAAACACCTCACACAGGAAGGTGATGAAGCCCAGCCAGCGCTCCACATCCTGTTGCTGCAGCTCCTCGCGCACAGTGAAGTCCTTCTGCAGAGGCACAAGAGACCACGTCAGCCTCACCAGGGCTGGGAGGGGTCCAGGCAACACTAGCTGGACCACAGCACCTATGATCCAAGAGCTAATCCTATGTTTAAATGAGGACAGAAACTACCCTGCCTTGTATCCATGGCATCACACTTCCCGTTACCCTGGGCTGGGGCTTAGCTTTTCTTCCTCTGAGAGTTGCTCAGCCTTGGTTACCTTCCTCCTTCCTAGATGTCCCTCAGCTTTGCCTGGAAGATCCCAAGACTAGGGACTGAGAATGTATGGTGGTGGTCGAGGTGTATGTATGCTGGGAAGGGGTAGGCAATGACACCTTTCTCAGATTCATTACCTCCCAGTTCAATTGTTTAGATCATCTCCTTTGACTCTCAATCATCATCCTCCTGCCAGGGAGTTATGGAGGATGCTGCTCGCCCTCACAGATCAGCGGTCCACCACTGAGGCCCATTTCAGCCCCTGTGCTAGGCTCAAAGCAGAAGAATGACTCCTGCCCACGACTACCCTGGCAGATAACAGGGAAATGTTATTTTATTATTATTTGTATGTGTGTGTGTGTGTGTTCTTGATGTAGGTGTGGGTGCCACAGTGTGGAGGTCAGAGGACAACTGTACAGAGTCAGTTCTCTGCAAAACATGGGTTTGGGGGGATCAAACTCAGGTCATCAGGCTTTCATGGCAAGTGTTGAGCCATCTTGTCCATCCAGCAGGAAAATCTAAAGTCTGCATTCACCCATCCATCCATCCATCCATCCATCCATCCATCCATCCATCCTTCTCTTAATATTATTGTGCCAGGTGCCAGGTAGTATACAAACAGCTAGGGTAAAGCGCATTCACCCTGAGCTACTGGCACAAGAGAGAGAGGTTAATTGCCACCAGAAGAGTCTAGAAAAGTTGATTATGGGAGCTCAGAAGTAGGAGTATTCACAACTGAAAATCAGAGCCTGGATGAAGCCTAGGAGTCTGAGATGCAGACAAGGGCCTAGGACAGTCAGATGAGGGACTGGAATGGGCAGAAGAGCAGAAATTGCCAAGTGCTGGGGAGGGAGACACGGGAGTTTCCGCTTTGTAAGATGGAAAAGTTGTAGAGAGTTCTCACACAACAATGTGTACTTAACATTTTACATTGGCAAGTGGTACAGTTAGGATGGTTGAATCGGTACAATTTATGCCATTTTATTAAAAGTAAAAAATTAAACCTTTCTTGAATGGATGTTTCAGCCAACAAAATACATGCCTCAGTTCTGAGGGAAATCAAGGTAGAGGAGGACAGGAAGGTGAAACTGAAATTGAAACCAGGCAGACTTAATGAAGTTAAGACAAAATAAGTCAGTAAAAGGTTGTTTTTAAAGAGTGAATCAAAAGCCAGGAATACTTTTTGGAAGAGAAGATATTTAATTTTTATTTTTAAAATTCATTTTGGCTCAATTCTAATTTTTTAATGCAACCTAAATGGTAATTTTATAGTAGTAGTTAGCTAATAATACAAAATTAAATTAGGAAAGACTGGTTAAGACTGTGAGACAGGAACCAAAGACTGGAAAGCAAACATCACTTCTTAATTTATGCCGTAAGGATTTCATGTCATTACTCTTCCTCAGCTTGATTATCAGAGAAATACAAGTAAAAGTATGCCTTGAAGAATACTTCAACTGACGGTCCTCAGCTGAGGCTCCTACCTCTCTGATGACTCTAGCTTGTAGCAAGTTGACACACAAAATCAGTCAGTACAACTGACCCCTTCTTAACTTGACACACAAACACATCACTACTAACCTATGACCTTCCTTTCTTTTTCATCCCCAAGATCGCACATTGAGAACACAAATAATTTTAAAAGTCCCACAGTCTTTACAAATTCTAGCACATTAAAATCTTAGCAACCAATCTCTCTCTCAAGTGTGGGCTCCAGTAAAATATGTTCTTACTCCAAGAAGAAAAATCAGGGCACAATCACAATCAAGGCAAAACAATTCTGTCTAATGTCAGAGATCCACTCACAATGTTCTGGGCTCCTCCAAAGGGCTTAGGTCACTTCTCTGGCTCTGCCCTCTACAGCACACACAGCTTGTCTAGGCCCCAGGTGGCTCCGTTCCACATCTGCTGCTGTTCTTGGTGGTCACTCTATGGTACTGGCATCTCCAAAATGCTGGGCTCCCTTGCTGCAACTAGGCTGCACTTTCACTAATAGCCTCTCATAGGCTCTCTTCATGGTACCAAGCCTCAACTTCTTTGCATGACCCCTTCAGTCCTGGGTCTTCAACTGTCACTGGGGCTGCACCTTCACCAATGGCCTTTCCTGGACTTTTACAGTGCCAAGCCTCAGCTGCTCTCCATGACCCCTTCATGCCTTCAAAACCAGTACCACCTGGATGATGCTTACACATTACCAAGTCCTGCTGCCAATATGAGGTACAACCTTGGCAGCCTCTGGAACACTGTTTCTCTGGGCTCTCAAGAAACATTCCCCAGAAGATTTCACCTCAGTGATGCTGGTCTCTCTCTGTCTGTTTTTCTGTCTCTGTCTCTGTCTCTCCCTCTTTTTTAAAAGATTTAAGTGCTCTATCTGCATGTATGCCTGCAGGCCAGAAAAGAGGATCTGATCTCACTACAGATAATTGTGAGCCACCCACCGTGTGGTTACTGGGAATTGAATTCAAGACCTCTAGGAAGAGCAGCCAGTGCTCTTAACTTCTGAGCCATCTCTCCAGCCCCCAGGATTCTGGTCTCTTCTTAATCATTGCTAATTTCTCAGCTCCAGCTGACCAGCATCAATTGTCCCAGTAACACAAAGGTTTCACTTTAGTAGTTCTGATATCTTGTTAATCACAGCTGGTTCTTCAGCCCCAGCTAACCAGAACCACAGGATCTTAATTCAAAATAACAAATGGCCCCAATAGAGTCTTTAAACTTCCCTGTGAAACTTCACAAGCCAGGCTTCCATCCTCTGAGCTGCTCTTAACATTCTTATCTTCCGAGTTTCCACAGAACATCCCACTGAGTTCTCAACACTCAATGGCTCTTCTAGCCCCAAGTTCCAAAGTCCTTCCACAGTCCTCCCCAAAACATGATCAGGTCTGTCACAGCAATACCCCACTCCTGGTACCAATTTGTCTTAGGGGTTCTATTGCTTCGATGAAACACCATGACCAAAAAGCAAGTTGGGGAGGAAAGGGTTTATTTGGCTTACACTTCAGGATTGCTGTTCATCACTGAAGGAAGTCAGGACAGGAACTCAAATGGGGCAGGATCCCAGACACAGGAACTGATGCAGAGACCATGGAGGAGTGCTGCTTACTGACTTGCTTCCCATGGCTTGCTCAGTCCACGTTTTTATAGAGCCTAGGACCAACGATTGAAGGATGGCACCACCCACCATAGGCTGGGCCCTCCCTACTGATCAGTAAATGAGAAAATGCCTTTCAGCTGGATCTCATGGAGGCATTTCCTCAACTGAGGCTCCTTCCTCTCTGATGACTCTAGCTTGTGTCCGGTGGACATACAAACCAGCCAGCGCATCTCTCAGCTTCACGGGCACCTTCACCCACATGGACATAACCATATTTAGGCACATGCACATAAAATTTAAAAAAAGGTTGGTTATATGCTAAAATTTGGGATATACTAGGTTAAGTAGAACATATAATTACATTTAAAATTATGTGAGTGGGTTGCATTGTATTTCTAGCAGAGTTATCCAAAAACTCAACTCAAAAAAATCAGAAAACTATCACCAGCTAAAGAAATATAGGAAAGAACACAATATAGATAAGACTGGAAATTAACTAAAAAATAAGAAAGGAAATTACATCCAAAAGCAAGAAGGAAGAATTAGAAAAAATTTCAATATGGAAACAAATATGAAAGAGGTAAGGCGTAACAAAAATTATGACCATGTTAAGTTGCAAAACATGATGAAATGAATAATGTTTCAGAAAAATAAATATCATTAAACCTTACTAAAAAAGAAAGAGATCAAAGCCAGAAGAGATGAAAAGACATGAAATAAAATGAAGTTATGAAAGAATTACCCTTATAGGGAGGTCTCTAACGTCATGACTCTCTAATAGGTAAGTTCATCCAAACTTATTAATTAAAAAAATTGGGATAATTGTTGTCATTTGGAAATGGATCCAAAACACAGGAAAAAAATGAGCTTGCCAGCCAATCATCTACAACCGAAATCTCCCACTAAGTTAAAAATAAGGATCGCATCAGCTGACCTCTCTAATGTGAATGGATGGGGAGGCTCTAAATGAAATGCCAGCAAATAGATCCATTATAACCAAGTAGACTTTCATCCCAGGAAGGCTGCAACGATTCAGAGTCAGGAAATCTATAAATGCAATCTATTACATCAAGGGGTCTGATTGAAAAACAGCAGCGATGCCCATGGGTGGAAGAGCCTGAGAAAATTATTAGATTATATGTATGAAAAACCCAAGAGAACCCTCTAATAAAGATTAATCAGAGTTTAGTAACTAATTAATGAGTATCTAGCTATTAAATTAATATATAAAAGTCAACAGCTTGCTTTCATGACACAATTTACCAGTGAGATGTTTTAATGATCAGAATCTAATTTATTAAATCTTAACATGAACTTTTGTGTGTGTGGCAAGGGCATTGGATGTAGACTCAGGGGGAAAAAATGACCCTAAAAGTAATTCAAAAGAATAATAGGAAAAATCACTAGTCAGGACACAACAAAATTGGAAAGGGTTGTATTACTTTTAATTTATTCCAAAGCTTTAATAATTAAAAGGCCATGGGATTGGCGGAGCATGGACAGCTAGATCAGATAGCCCAGACACAAGTTTGGCATCCACAAGGGTTTATCATCTGATCTCCCGAGGGCCGCAAATCAGAGGCAGAGGATGCAGTATCCACTCGAGTAACACTGCAGCCACAGCTGTCCAATATCAGGCAGAAAATAGTCTATAGTCTCAACGCACCCTGGACCGCAAGAGGAACTCCAGGTGGAAT